TGTACCGCTTCTGCGTAGATCTGTACAGTGTGGGACCTTGTTCTGCAGTGTTGTACAGTTCTGTACAGCAAACGTATTTTCCATCAAATGCCTGATGCTCATGATGTTTGGCCAGAGGTTAACTCAACAGTAGTCTCATGCTCGCGGCTGCATACTTGGGCGAAAAAAACAAACTTCAGAACCCTGGCAATAAAACAAATATACTTAGGACCTTGCAGTGCATGTATACACACACCCATATAACGGGTTCAGAAGTTTGAGATGCCCCTAAATCCATTTTGGCTCAAAAAAGGCTGTAAATGGCCTATGCCGACAACCATTTTGGCTCAAAAGAAAAAAACCCTCCTTAAATGCCTTAATAAATACGCATGATACTAAAACTTAACCATGCTAACAGGAGGAATAACTAGTAATGATACTAACAATAAGGACACATGAATACACATGTTTTTCAGATTTCCGTGATTTGGGCCGAGGGCCTGGCTAGTGGCAGCCAAGCATTCTCAGAGACATGATTTTTGAGCTGAGAAATGTCTGCTCTTCCTTTTGTTGAGATGCAGCATTTTGCAAGTGTTGGAGTCTTCAGGCTTTCATGCTACGGGGTGAGGGTCTGACTTCTTTCACAATGATATAATTTGTTCCTTTGACGGCGTCTTTTCCCATCATTAACAGAGATTTTGCAGTCCGTTTGAGTTGGAGTTTCGAAGCTCTTGTCATAAAGTCTGGAGATGACACATGCGGATCCCATGTCTAAGATGTTGCCTGGGGCGCCCAATCGCGTTCAAGTTAGAGTGTCATGTGGGATTTTCTTCAAGTCACAAAGAAGCATGCAGATTGGCCGACAGTTTTGGCTGCAGAGAGGAACAACTTTTAGCTTTGCCATGATGGCTCTGCGTTTTCTGGCATTTCCTTTAGTGCTGCACGTGGTCTCTGCGGTGCTGCTTTTCCGAAGGGCCCAGCATGCAGGCCAGCGCGTGCAGTTCCAAGAGCAGCAAGGTGGCTTGTCGGCCGAGCAAGCCGATGCGGGGTGGCAAATTGAAGTACCCGTTCTACCTTTGTGTGGTGTGCCTGAGGATGCGCCACAGGGTGTTGGGGACGAGGACACAGAGGCAAAGGCTGACATACAACAAGTGCCAGCTTTGCGGGAGCAGGATCATGAGCCAGCAGTGGATTCGTCTGAACAGGTGGCTCCGCTTCGTGATGGGGCTAGGCGTGGTCGCAAGCGCAAAAACTGGTCGGAACTCGAAGTGGTCCAGAAACCTGACAAACTTCGGGTGTCAGCGCAGAAGTGGCTCCAAGAAAAGAAACACTTGCATTCGGTATTGACATCCTCAACTTGGTGTGGAAAACGCACCTACTTGGCCAAGTGTCGCATGTGCAAAGATTGCACGTTTGAGTGGTGCTTCTCCGAGCGCTCCGATGGCAGCATGGTGGTCGAAGTGACTGGGGCGTGTACTGAAAACAAGAACGTCAAGGCGGCTCAAAGACAAAGGGCCAAGGAGCTTGCGCAGTCCAGAACACCTGCCCAAGCTCAGAAACAAATGGAGCAGCAACAAATTCCGGTTCAGGAGCGGCCGCCTGCGTGGCAAATTCAGAATTACAGGCCTCAGAAGCGCCAGCAGGTGCAAAAACAAGCTGCAGACTGCTTGCTTGCTCTTCGGGCTTTCCTGCAGAGCCCGCCGGAGACTCTTCGAGTAGACACAGACTCTCTAGTGTGCAACGAGGAGCAAGTTCGGATCTTGTTTGCTGTTCCTGAAGCAACAGAGTGGTTCCAAACTTGCAACCTGCCATGGTTCCTTTGCGATTTTACGATGAAGACCAACAAGCCAGGTTTGGTGCTGGGTGCTATAGGACCTGTGGGTCTCAAGCGTGGTGCTGGTGGCAGGCCGCATCTGCGCTTCGTGCCGGTGCAGTACATGTTATCGCACACTGAAGACCAAGAGGCTCACAGCCTATTAGTCAAAAAGTACGTTCAGATGGCTGCAGATGCCGGCATTCAGCTCACTGACGGTATTTTTGACTGTGCCTGCTATGCCGGGGCTAAGGCCGCTTTGTCTGGAGAAGGGATGCCGCAAAACATCTTTCTTCATCGTTGCCTTCAACATACGAAGGAAAATCTCAAGGAGGAAGCTAAAAAGCGGGACGAAGCCACAGGACAACCCCGGCTAAGTAATGGGGAACTGCTTCCGCTACTGGTGGAACTGTTGCAATTCTCGGCTTGGCTTCCCTCAGACGAAGATGCTCGGTAGTTCCATGTGGGTGCAAGTACGTTGTTTTACGTATAGGGTTGCTTGAAATTTGCTTACAGGGAGATTTGGCCACTTACGAGGGGCAGGGTTATCTTATGCATCGATTGAGCGTGTACTTGGGGAAACCATGTCTTGGGCTTGGCCACTTCGTAACAACATAATCAGGAAAGTCTTGTTGATGACAGTGCTTGCATGCAGTTTGGCGGTTTCAGCGTGACATCCTGGTGTCTCCTAGCGTTGCATCGATTGAGCGTCTACTTGGGGCAACCATGTCTTGGGCATGGCCACTGCTTAACAGCATCATCAGGAAAATAGTAAGTGCAGGATTTCTGTCGGGTTCCCGTAGCGAAATCAAATAGCAAAATCAATATTTGGGTGGGCTCCTGTCATAAAATCCCCCTAGTAAGTACAGGATTTCTCTCGGGTTCCCGTAGCGAGAGCCCATAGCAAAATCAGCATTTTGGTGGACTCCTGTTATAGAATCGCCATTGTAAGCACAGGATTTCTTTCGGGCTCCTGTAGCGAACTCCCATATCAAATCAGTATTTCGGTGGGCTCCTAATAATTTAATATAAAAACACTAATACATATAAGATTTCTCTGGGGCTCCTGAAGCGAAATCCAATCTGATGTGTCATAACCCCGCCCCTTGTAGGTCTCCACAGTTCTGATTTGAGGTTGAGTTTTGGAATGCCTTTTTACATGGAGCTTAGTGGTTCCCCTCCGTAGATGTACATTTTTTGCCTTTCGGGTTTTAGGAGAAAACGTTGGTAGGGTTTTCAACATGTTTCCTGTTCTAGGATACATCTTCAAGGAATTTACAGCTCTGTGGTCAACGGTCCTTCATCGCATGGACACAGACTGGGAGGAGGCCACGATGGCTCGATACATACGTTCCAACCTACTGCACGTTGCCTCCGATGTCATTCGTGCTTCCTGGCAGACTGGTTTCGGTGCGGTGCCCTTGGGATGCACTACGTACGCCCCAAATGCCATCGAGCGGTCCTGGCGCTTGCTCAAGGGATTGTTGCAGCAGAGGCACAGCGGTCTGGATTCAATAGCCCTCTTGACCCTGTCTGGGTTTTATAAAGTCGCAACAAAATCTTTTATTATGCTTGTACGAGGTTGTTTATACACATTCCAGATAATAATCACTCCACAACATCCGTTTCTGCAGGCATCGCCTGCAAGAGCCGGCCACGCTCATGGTTGATGTGTGCGTTTGCTTGAGATCCCGTCTCAATGCTGGTGAGTATGCTGACATGCGTGAAGCTTTCAGTGATCCTTGGCGTGCTTTGCAAGTTCCGAGCCAGACTGTGTGGGGTCCGCGCGTGGAGGATCAAGAGGATTCAGACCAAGTGGAGCAGCGTTCCAGACGGCTGTGTCAAGATGATATTTTGAAGCATTTCCGGAAGCACGGGGCCAGGGGCACATTTCTGGCATCTGTCACATCACGTGTGCTGGCAGATGGCAGTAAGGCGAAGTTGCTTTATGTGTTTCCCAAGTACCGCTTGGAACTTGGCCACTGCAGACGCGAGGAGATTGCTGCTGCGCTCAGGTTGGGCTTGGCCAGCACTGTTGAGGATGTTTTCCAAGCCTGCGCTGACCCTGAAACAGGCTTCCTTGACTATGTATTCATCCCCATAATTAGGTTGATAGTCGGCTCTCCCAAAGCAAAGCTTGTTGTATCTATTCTTGTAAATGGCTACTCAACCCCAGGAACCTCCACATAAGCCTCAGAAGTACTGCTTCACAAACCAATGCAAGCGTCAGGTCATTACTGCTTCCTACGCCATATGTTCCTCCGGAGAACGTATACCACTGTTTATGTCACCACAGATGATGTGGTGGTCGACATGAATGCTGATTTCGTTGCTGGAGGCGGCCATTCGGAACACGCTTTGTTTGTGCAGACTCTCCTCACAAAGGATGGCCATCGTCCAGTGCGTGCTGGACCCATACATTCGCAAGCCGGAACGAAGAAGAAAGCCAAGGCCAAGGCTAAACGATCGGCGAGGATGAAGAGCATGTTGCGGGCTTCGCCACAAAAGCGTGGCTCGGGATCCGATGCTGCGCCGAATGCTGTGTCTCCAGACACGGCTCCAATGGACGCAGCCGTCAGGGTGCGGCTGCTCCCAGGCACAGTCGTTCATGGAACGCAGCAGCCGCTGCTCCAATCTATTGCTCAGGACTTCTGCTTGCCCAAACAAGGCTTGTGGAGGGAGGCACTCCAGCCAGACATCAAACATACTCGAACCCCTTCAGGGTATACGGTATTCCCGAATATGGGGCTACAAAGAATGAACAGGCCGTCGTAATACTTGGCGATGACTATTCCGAAATTTCAGGTTGCAAGGAAGCAGCAGGGGCTTAGTCAGGCTTAGTCGTAATGCTTTGCTATGACACTTGGCGATGAGTATTCCGAAATTTCAGGTTACAAGGAAGCAGCAGGGGCTTAGTCAGGCTTAGTCGTAATGCTTTGCTATGACATTTGGCGATGACTATTCCGAAATTTCAGGTTACAAGGAAGCAGCAAGGGCTTAGTCAGGGTTTAGGGTTTAGGGTTTAGGGTTGCTATGACATTTGGCGATGACTATTCCGAAATTTCAGGTTACAAGGAAGCAGCAGGGGCTTAGTCAGGGTTTAGGGTTTAGGGTTTAGGGTTGCTATGACATTTGGCGATGACTATTCCGAAATTTCAGGTTACAAGGAAGCAGCGGGGGCTTAGTCAGGCTTAGTCGTAATGCTTTGCTATGACACTTGGCGATGACTATTCCGAAATTTCAGGTTACAAGGAAGCAGCAGGGGCTTAGTCAGGCTTAGTCGTAATGCTTTGCTATATTTCAGGGCACCAAGAACCAGGAAGGGCCAAGTGAAAATTCTTAGCTATTGCTATTCCCGGACTTCACGAAGGGCCAAATGATGATATTTACCTGTAAATGTTTCCAAATTTCCAGGTACCAGGAACCAGAAAAGGCCCAGTCAGAATCACACGGGTCTGAATCATGATTCCCAGCTATAATTACTACGAAGTTTCACAGTGTAAGGCACCAGGAAGATTAGTCCTATGACGGCTTTGGGGTTTAGGCTTTAGTGCTATAACTCAATTATATGGTTATGACCGGGCTAATAAATCCCAGATATACTTGGGCTACAACAGCACCATACCAAGAGCCCTCGAACTTGGAAGGAGGCTGAGATGCGTTGCATGGCAAGCAACAAGCGAGGAGAACGGTGCAAGAACAAACGTACTCAGGGCAATTTTTGCGGTCGTCATGCTGCAGAGGCAGAGCGCTTCAAAATGCCTTTCTGCCACCGCTGCATGCTCCCCCAACCGGAAAACTATTCCCCCTGACAGGCTTCCTCCACGCAGTGGGATGTGAACATGTTCGAGCACGTGCAACCAGCAGCGGACAGTGCCTTTCAATCATGGGAACGGCACCTACTCAACCTGGCCATTGAGGCAAGCCTTGCTGACAATGCAGAAGCTCAGGCACGTGCGGATGCCAGCAATGCGGTTATCGATGCCAGACTTGCTAGGGAAGGCCCAGCTAAAGTGCTGTCTTTCTTTGACTCTATGCTCGCAAGCCCTAAAGCCGTCAACCTTAAACTCAAAACCCTCAATTCTGAACCCTCTAGCCCCAGCTTACTGGCATTAATGTCATTAGGCGCTTCGTAACACCCAAGGACATATGAGCCGCGTTTTTCCTTTGTGTGAATTTGCGTGTCTAGCTTGCCTCATGCATGGAGTGTGTCAATAAGGCCTCAAATTGTAGCGCGTACAGTGTGTGTACATGTCTTGTACAGTGACATAATTTGACCTCCTTACCGCAGGGGCCCCTTTTTGGAGCCAACTCAAGCTACGGCAAAACGACTAGGCTTCGCAGAGTGCATACATGTGCAAAAGCCGACTTCCGCTGCTGCAGCACTGACTCAACATGCATAGACGTCCAGGGTATCGCCCCGTAGCAAAAGACTTTGCTCCGGATTGTGTTGCTCTGATAGTGCGCAGCATTAGGCTTGTACTGGTGGTTGCTTAGCTCTGCGGCTACTTCCGCACCTGCTAGGAGGCTCTGCACTGTAGCTTTGTGACTCTGGTATTGGGTTAGCTCGGCCACCGAAATGTGCACGGGGACTGCGGCCACGGAAGGTCTGCGGAAGGTCCGCGGAAGGTGATGGCCTCGCGGAAGGCCCTTAGAAAACAGAGCGCCGAGTCGTCATGGGGAATCCCCAGGCAGCGCTCAGATGTGTGCGATTCGCACACAGCGATGCTGCGAGCCTCAGGATCTCAAGACTAAGCAGCATGAAGCTCTTGCGTGGCATCGAAGTGGCGGTCCATTGCGTTCGAAATCACAATGGGCGGCCAACTTGAAAGACAATCTCTCTCTCTCTCTCTCCCTCCATCTCTCCCCATCTGTGTATAGAAATACAGTCCGAAAGTTTCTGGAAATGGGAGACCTGGACGTGGGGCCCCGCGAAATATTAGCCTAAGCCCCCACTGCCCTGTCCAGCACCATCGTAGACCCCCCGTGTGACATGTTGTGTTGTAGGCCGGAAGCGCGTGCCAGTGGCAGCCCATGGGGACTGCCAATTTGAGGCCATCATTTACAGCGCTGAGCTCCCCATGACTGCCGACGCTCTTCGGGCGGAAGTCATGCAGTATTTGCGACCGCTGGGCGACACTTTCCGGGCACGCCTGGAGCAACGCTTCAATGGTCGATGGGCAGACTACTGCCACCATATGGCCCAGCAGGGAACTTGGGGAGATGACATGACTTTACTAGCGGCGTCACATGTACTCCGGCGACCGATCCATGTTATCACGGACTCGGAGTATGAGAGCGGCTATCTCACGGTCGTGAAGCCTCCCCCTTGTGTCCATTCGTCATTGTGGGGCCCGCCCATCGTGATTTCGAACGCGATGGACCGCCACTTTGATGCCACCCAAGAGCTTGATGCTGCTTAGTCTTGGGGGCCTGAGGCGCACAGCATCTTTGAAAGTGGCTGTGCTTTTTAAGGTTGTTTCTACCCAGGGCTTGCCTGAAGCTTTGCAGCTGGTTGTTTTGCTGTTTGCGTTGTTGATGGCTTATGTGTCTTTGGCTGTTACGAAGCCCCAGATTCCCAGATGATGTTAGCGCACGCAATAAGTTGGTACCGGACAATGACCTGCTACAACACTTCCTGGAAGCCCTGACCACTTAGACGTGGGGGTCAAGGTAATGTACGAAGACGGTCCTTGGCGTTTTACCTTGAACCTCACGGTAAGCACTAGCTAGGAGGGCGGTTTTGCCAGGGTTTGGGTTCCCAAAGTGTATATGTGTGTTGATTCTGTTCAAGAATTACAGGTGCAACAGGAATGCTTTGGGTAAGGTGTTTGCCAAGCATGTCTCGCCAACCCCGGTCCTGTTTAAGTCCCTCCTTCGAGATTCTACATAGAGTCTAGACGGTCGCCCAGGGACGCGTCCCGTAGAACAGACCAGAAAGCCGACGCGCGAGTCATTGCAAAACCAAACCCGCGAGGATTCCGCGGACCTGGAACCCGTAAACGTCTTGGCATCTTGCCATTCCATTAAATCGTGATTTAGTTTCCCCCCTGGACTATGCATCGGCGAATTTATTGGACGCTTCAGCCACAATTAAATCACGATTTAATTGTTTGGAATCTCCCCATTACCTTCGGGCACAATTAAATCATGATTTAATTGTGCACCTGCGGCGCATGAGGAAGGCGCTGCACGACATACTAAAACAATTAAATCAGGATTTAATTGTTGTGGATGTAGGGGCTCCCCAGGGTGCACAATTAAATCATGA